CTCTACCCATTCTCTCTACCACAACAATACCGTCATCATCTGTAGGTAAACATGACTGAATTACGCAATCTAAAGTATCTTTCACTAACTGAGCAGCACCAGTAGCTTCTTCTACATCACTTGCTTTCACAGGATTTCGTGAAACTATTTCTGGAAGCTTTGCCTCTAGTTTGAAGGGTCCGACTGTAACACCAGAAGCAGAAGGTGGTAACACTTCTTGCTTATTCACTAATCCAGAATTTGCACACACTGGTGGTGATGATGCCACCTGTGCTAAATTGTCACCTGGAGTTAATATACTTGATACCTCCTTTGATATTTCATCAGCTATTGTATTTTCCTGAACTTCAGATGTAGAGGTGGTGTCAAGCTGGTGGGATTTACTTTTTTGTTTGTTTGATGCCACGGTGCTAATGATGAGAGGTAGAACTTCCTGAGTATCAGCAATTAGATTCTGAGAACTAGGACATACAGATCTTGAGCCACAGCGGGAAACTGGTGCTGATATGCGGCCAGAAAAATCTGGCAAAGATGTCTGAAACATAAACACAAATGCGTTAATTAATTATAATGATTCAAACTGAGAAAGCAAAACTGTCACCCTACATACAGATCTCTTTTTGTCATTCAGCCCCACTTTAACTTACCTCAGAACTCCTGCAATTAGTAGCAATCACCTGATGTTGGATACACCAATGTGAGTACACTTCCTCAGGACTGGATGCAATTAAGTCAATAACACTATGTCACATTTAAACAAAGTCCGAGTTCAAATACTTAGGCATACTCTCACCCCCTACTTTATTTAAAACATGACCTCAGATGACAACATAAGACTTCCAGTCTCCCTGCTACCAACATACTAGTTTGGGCACTATTATAGGAAGGGAAAATGCCATATAAAATTCCACCAGCTTTCTCACACAACTTTAACACATTTTCTGCAAAATGTAAATATCCTCTCTTTCCATTCACCACCACAGATTATGAACAGCATTGATACATAACACATTGTAAATGGATGGGTGAAACATATTTTAATTAGTCTGCAACCCCTTAAAAAGAAAACTAAAGAGCAAAATTTGTAATAGGGGTTCAATCAGCTTCCAGTGCAAACCAGTACTTTGTGCTCTGGAACAACATGTTACTTCTTACATTTACAATACACATTCTTCAAATTTGGGTATCCAATTTAATTTTCTGTGATCAAGCATAAAAATGCAATAAGTTCCGAGACCTATCTATCAATTTTAGGGAGATAAAAGAGAAAATAAATTTGTACCCACCTTTTTGTCACCACCAGAAAGTAAGGGTGTGGGGGATGGAGTACCGGTCTTATGTCGATTTCTAGATGAGCAAGACAGACTGGCAGAATTCCGGTCTTGAGTGCGGTGACTGGTAGATGCTTGACTAGAGTATGAAGTCACTACCTGAGAGGTTACTCTGCAGAAAAATAAATATATCATGCAGAATGTAATACAGTACAGTCTTTGATCAACAGGTACATATTATCTAGAAAGAAGAGCACTTACGTAATTTAGCAGTGTTTTACTTTTTCTACAGCAGTAAATTAAAGCACTAGATTCTTTAAATCTTAAACCATTAAAACAATATATGTATATGCCTAAAAGTGATCAAAATAGTTAACATTGATCTCCAAATGTTACCTGTCACCAAGAAAATATACCAAACTATACAATATCACAATGTCACTCAAAAATTACAGAACAGACCAATTCAAGTTATCCAAGGTTTTGCATACATTTGCAGTGATTGAGACCCGAAGTATGAGAATATGTAGGTATGCTTATGGATATGAATGGGTATTAACTCTCTTATAATATAAACCAAAGGTATAACAATGCTAATAATACAGCATGCCACAAACCAGATAAGTCCAGTTGCAACCCCTGCATCCTGTTTCTCATCTCCTCAATCTTAGAGTGGCTGCAGTGTAAGAAGATTCCAAAAAATCTATATGGACCACTGTTTTCATTATTATAGAATACACACTCAGCACATAATTACCTTACTGAACTGATAACTCTTAACTGTATTAGGTGAGCAGTACAATTTACACAGTTCCTAATTATATGATATTCTCTATTCCCTATTTAATTATTATCTACTACTTCCTAAAATTTTCCTCAACACTTGCATGTATGTTATATAATAAAAGACTGCATTTCACATAAAATTGTTTTATTTCAATATTTAGCTATCTCCTATTCTAAATAAGAAGACACCATCATCATCTTTGGTGCTTCGGCCCATTTTCAGGCCTTGACCTTCCCTAAAGACATCACTGCATAATAAATTCTACGGCACAAATCATATGAAAATACTTAGATATTCAGTATAATTACAAGAAATTATAAATATGTAATTATAATATAAGAGGCTGAGATCTGACATTTTCATGACACATTTCAATTAGCCTAAAAAGTGTCGTGGGAATAACAAATTCAATGTGAATGCTATACAATACTTCAATCAGAACAAAAGTCTATAAACAGTATTATGCTTCCATTACTTCTTCAGTATCTGACAAATGCAGAGTATCTATCAGTAGTTGATCTTTTCCATTCAAATAAACACTGTTGGTCCTCACCCTAATTTTAACTACATATGAATTTAACCTTGACAGAAGAATGTTAGATTCAACAATATTTTTCTGTAATTCCATATTTACTCATCAATCTACATAATTTTCACATCAGTTACAGCAGTTGCTAAAATATAATAATCTGATTATGCTATAAAATGGATGAACCTAAATGTAGACTATATTCCAATAATTTTAATAAAAGTTTCTGGAATATAAAAAATGCTGAAAGTGTCTTCTGGATTGTTGTGCTGTGTAGTCAGGTAGAAATTTACCAACATTTCAGACCTTGCTGCCTCCATCATTAGGGCAGCTAATATTAATAGCAGCAGCAAGCACCTCTGAAATGTTAGTAAACTTCTACAAGTTTACAAAGCACAACAACCCAGAAGACAGCCATCTTCATACTTACTGTCATGAGAACATGGTATCGCACATTAAAAATGTAATTTGCTTACAAAAAGAGAAATCACACTACATGTCTGTGTTACTACATAAAAAAGAGGAAAAAGTTCTCTAACCTGTCTTTATTCCGTGACTGAAACAAACTCCGAACAGTACTTCCAAGCGAATTCCTCTTTCTAGTTGGGCTGGGAGTTGGTTCATGTGTTGACCTACGGCAACCATGTCCTGTTGAGGCTAAGGAGGTGGCGTGACTGTTTCGACCTCGTTTGGTGGTGCCACCACCAGCATCACTTCTTGTTATAAGACTGCCTGCGGTCCCCGTATTGCAAATGCTGGTTTCTTGTACCTTCTTAACTAACACTTCACCACAAATGTCTCTGTTATTGTCAGTTTCCACCTGACAATTTGGATTTGCTGAAGCTGTGCTTGTATTATTCGTACTTATATTATTGTTTCCACTTCGAATCTGAAAGAATAAAACATTCTGAATTTGTATTAAAAAAAATCATAAAATGCTGGTTTGAAATGTCAACTGTCCACATAACAGAAGACAAAAGGGAAACCACGCATCTCTCTGCATTCCCTTTTTTTTTCACGTTCAGTTTCCTTGATAATTTAATTTATGTTTATTCATGATTTCATCACAACACAAGGTTTAAATTGTATTAACTGAAGCCTATGATAATCAGTATAAAGCAACCAATACTGTATAACCTCTACTTTTACTCCAATGGGAGGTGCCTAAAAATTTGTTTTCAAAAATTATTCAATATGTATTTTTTAACTAATGATCACCTTACATACCTAGAAATATAAAATAATTTGGATAACATTATGAGGTTATTTTTGTTTATCACTTCGTGGTTTATTTAACAGTGCTACCAATACCCTACATTGTATATCATCAAATGATAGAACAATTAGGAAAAATGAATTAGATAGGAGGTGAATGGAAGCAGGTGAAACAAATTTAAGTTACTATCCTAGCATTTTAAGAGGTAGTTAGGAAAACCATGAAAATCCTCAATCCAGATAGTTGGTGTCAGAGCCAAGATATGAACATGGGCCTACTGAATACAAAGCAGGAGACCTAACCACTCAACAATGATGTTCAGTAAAAGGATGAGAAGGTGTAAACACATAAGAAATGGAGGAACACAAAATAACAAAGTAATTAATCCACTAAACACCAATAAAAAATGGAGGAGGGACAAAAATGTGGTGGCAGCTGCAAGTGTCCATTCTCCTCCAATAATTTTATCTATATAATGGGTGATTTGTCATGAAACTTGATGTCTTGCCACTGGAGGTAACCCCATCCTTCTATTGTTTAATTCCTCACCATCTAAAATTCCAACGTGATGCTCATATGAGCTTCTTAGGTAAGGACGTAGGGACATACCACCATCTGTTAACAAAATATTCTAAAAAAGATGCATAAAAAATGTTTATATTTTCTAGTCACTTTAATTCTGTAGCCTAGCATATGCAGCGCCATAGATATAAAAACAACTGTAGAGTTTGTATGGCAATATTTTGTGAGACAAAACATAAAAATTGCAGCAGTTTGAACATTTGAGGTAATGATTGTAAATTTTCATGCATTGGAGCTTTATACCAAGAGAAATTCTATATACAGACAGATCATTAAGCAAATAACTGTTAAACTGTAAGTTTTGTAGGCATCTCTAATGTAAGAAAAAGTTTAAGGAAAGGAGGCATGATAAGGTTTCCCAGGATATATTGCTTCTATTTAATGTACTCACCCTATGGGTATTGCTCATGGCACATGGAGACCCACACTATTGCTGGCTCCTCTTGCTACACAGAAGTTGTTTCAATTGAAGAGTACATCACAATGAACTCTTTCTAGAATTTCTGACAGCAACACTTTCATAGCTGACTTTCTCACACAGCAACAGTATAACAATTTAATAATAGAGACTATAATATTAA